ATCATTCTGCAGAAGAGTGGGTAACAGATGAAGAGACGACTGAACAAGATAGAATAAAAAGAAAAAAACTTGTTTGTGTTGATAAGTGGTAGCATGGACCGAATGTAAATATTAGTATCTATATAGATGCTAAAAAAAGGGCCCAAATTGACAAAACAAAAGAACTTCAGAAAATCAATTTTTACATTATAAATCTTATAATAAATAATAAGAAAATGCACTTTAAAGAGCTATACGACAAAATTTTAATACAACTATTTAAGTGAAAAATAATTCTAAATTGATTTATATAAAAAATTCTTTTGAAAAAATTGTCAATTTGGATCTTTTTTCTAGCACCTAGCCTATATATCATAAGAGGTTTTATATATTAACTACTGTTTTATTTTTATTTAGTTAAAGAGATTATTTCACAAACGAATAGATTCATTTATAAAATATCTACAACCAAAAAATCCTCAAATAATAAAATGTCATTATGAAGGACATATTGATAAAAATAGTGAGCCGTCTATGAATTGTCCTTCCTGAGCTCTATCTGAAGAGGAACTAGACTGGTATCAAATCCCTAAATCAACTGTTAATGCAGATTATTCAACTGAAGATGAAGATTTGTATCAAAAAAACAAAACCTCCAATAATGATGTTATTCTTTATTGTAAGAAAAAAAAGTGAAAGAGAAAAACAAGGTCTTGGAGCAGCAGTAGTACAGTAGATTCTAGTTCTGAAGAACATGGCCTTATCAAAAAAGATAATAAAAGCAAAAAATAAAGAAAAATACCCATGGATTATGAAAATAATACTAATTCAACTGACAATAATACTACTGATAGTATTACTAAAGAAGACTATAATAATTACAATGCTTCGAAACAAAATAAAAAAGAGCTAAAAGATGATAAAAGAAAATCAAAGAAAAAAAGATCAAAAAAGAGTTGATAAGCATATTACCTTGACCAATTTAAACATTTATCTCTCGAAATTTTTAGCTTTTCTTTACAATATACATTAATTATTATTTTATCTATAGATATT